AAATACAGAATGAATTACTGTTACTTAGGGTGTTCGTATCCTTTTATGCATTTATGTATGCATGTTTATAAAGAAAATCTGATGTTATAATAAGAAAATTAATAACGTTGTAGAGAGCATCTGTGGTTTGTAATTCATGTATCTGTTTCTTTTCTGGATGGAGTAGCTATTATTTACTATGGAAAAAATGTGTTTTCTCTCACGAGGATTTTCATCTTCTTTTCATTTTCTCTTTTTAAAGATTCTTTTGAGATACTCCCTTGGGAAACTCCGATTTCTTCTTCAAGAATACTGATGGTTATGATGCTTATTATAAAGGGGGAAAAAGCACAAAATTTTTGTATATTGAGTATCATACTCATTAGTGTTACCAAAGGCAGAAAATAAAGGGGAGTTCATATTTCTTATATATTTCAACAACATTGTGCTAAACCCCACCTTAATAGGTACATATTCCTCTGGACTAAATACATAGATATATTGTTACTTAAGAAGGAAAACATCTTTCCTAAGAAACAAAAATCAAATCAATGAATGAGAAAAATAAAAACTTTTGGAAAAAGTCTTAATGTGAAATAAAATGTTAATACCCTTCCTATAAATGACAAAGAAATGAAAATTAATAAACAGAAAATGAGTAAATGGCAAATGAGATATTTCCTGCAGTGGAGGTGGAAATGACTTCCAGATGCAATTAAAGCTACGCACCCTCCTCCATTGCAAGATATCTGGGAAATGAAGCCAAATTTTCTTTTCCTCAAGATCGACAACAACTGTGGAAAATCTTCTACAAAACTGTGGAAGATTGTCTATTTTTCGTCCAGCGTGTGAATTTGTTTAAAGTCTTTGGATATAAATTTAACAGTGTTTAAAGCGCACAAATATTTTACTTCTGGAATTTAAGACATTGATATACAGAGTTGACTAGATAAGTTTATTTCACAATTGTTTGTTATAGAATAAATTTTGAAATAATTTAAAATTTCACTGTGAAGCTACCGGTCAGTCAAATACATTCAGTTGTTAAATGAGAATAGTTCTATAAAATGAGAATAAACATTTTACTAAGACAAAATATGGAAGATGCTCCTCTCTACTAAAAGATAAACCACACATCCACACTCACATACACAATATATATTATATACACAAAACTACACAGAAATACATATAGGTGAAGCACGAAAAGTCCAATATACAGATGAGAAATGGGGAGTGAATTCGTTTTATGCAACTGCTTAACTGCTTGTGTAAGTGTTTTCAGATCATGTATGCTTTACGATGTCTCTTTAATACATGTAGCTGTTCAAGGTTTTCTAAAGTAAGCCACCTGCCTTTCTGTTTACCTAGCCAGAAGACAATGCAGTCATGACTTGGCAACATTCCTGAGAGTGCAATAGGCTAGGTTTTGATCCTTATAAAAAGGGCCTAATATAATGTTCTATATAAATGTAGTGAGAGTATTTTTGTACACTGTGTATAATAAAAACACTGTCCATTTGAAAGCAAAAATGAAAAGAACAAATCACCTTTTTGCTTTTACTTTCTTTATTTTTATTTTTTATTCATTTTACATACCAACCACTGTTCCCCTCCCCCACCTCCTCTAGCTCCCCACTTCCCCAATCTACTCCCCATTCCATACGCCTCCAAAAGGATAATGCCTCCCCTGAGGAGTCAACAAAGCCTGGCACATTAAGCTAAGGCAGGATCAAGCCCCTCTCCCTTGCATCAAGGCAGAGTAAGGCATTCCACCAAAGGGAATGGGCTCCAAAAAACTCATGCACCAGGGACCCACTGCCAGGGGTCCCTCAAACAGACCAAGCCACACAACTCTCGCCCACATTCAGTCCCTTGCAGGCGCCACAGCTTTCAGTTTAGACCTATGAGTTCCCACGAGCTTGGTTCAGTTGTCTCTGTAAATTTTCCCATCATGATCTTGACTCCCCTTGCTCATATAATCCTTCCTTCTTCTTTTCGACTAGACTCCAGGAGCTTGGATGTGGATTTGCTTGGATGAAGCATTTGCTTCCCCCAGTTACTGGATGAAGGCTCTATAATGACAGTTAGAGTAGTCATCATTCTTCCCCATTATAGGGGAAGACCAGTTCAGACACCCTCTCCACTATTGCTTAGGGTCTTAGTTGGGGTCATCCTTGTGGGTTCCTGGGAGTTTCCCTAGCACCTAGTATCTCTGTAACTCCATAATGACTCCCTCTATCAAGATATCTGTTTCATTGCTCTCCCACTCTGTTCCTCCCCAAACTCGACTATCCTGTTCACTCATGTTCTCATCCCCATCTCTTCTGCTCTATCATTCCCTGCTTCCAGTTTACCCAGGAGATCTTATGTATTTCCCCTTCCCTGGGCGAGCCATACATCTCTCCTAGCGTCCTCTTTGTTACCTAGGTTCTCTGAGTCTGTGGATTGCGGTCTGGCTATCCTTTGCTTTACATCTAATATTCACGTGGGAATGAGTACACACCGTGTTTGTGAAAAGAACGAATCATCTTGTCAAACAATCTGTATAGGTTTAATTTTAATGATTGTGGATTTGACACTCACTCTGCTTCCATATCACCACACCCTTATTTTGGAATGTATCCCCATAGACAAGACTCTTAACACTCAGTAAAGGGAAGGAAATAGTCAACTCGACATTTTTTCTTTGGGAGGATACACGGTGTGAGTAAACTAAGAAATATTTTAGGTTGTAAGTGCGACACCAATATTTGATTTTTTTTCAATGCTTTTCATTTGTTCATTGACAAGCAGCTTCTCCAGTTTCTTGTCAGGTTTCGTTTGTGTGGTGAAGTCTTATGAATATTTGTTATGCATATAATTCTGGGGAGTTTATCTGCATAACTGCCACCTGTATCTTGACAATAAAAAAAAAAAAAAACCCTTATCTACACTGCCAGCATTGGGTAATTTCTCAGCTCCAGTCCCCACACAAGCACCTCTTCCACTCCAGAACTGTGGGATATGCTGCCTGGGTCCTGTAGTGACTCTTAATGGACTCAGCATCCAGTTCCTCCACTACTAGTTCTCTCATCAAACGAGCAACACTTCACACCCCAGAAGCCAAGAAACTGGTATGCATTCGACTGTCCTGTCTGGTAAACCCTAAGGATTACTTCTCTAGGAATTCACTGTGAAGGAATACATTGCTAGCTTTGTTTTCCATTGGTTTTCTTTTAAGTTTAGACCATAATATACCAATTATAGACAATGTAAAGAAGAAATAGGGTTTACTTTTGACATATTTTCTCCTTTTTGTATTGTGACAAACTATATTGTAATATGACAGATTGTCCTGTAAACATTTTCTGGTTCTTGAAAAGCCGTTTGCGTCTATGCTTCCATGGATTCTTAATTTATGTTTTGTTGTGAGGTGCCCTCCCAGCCAGCGTGCGACAGTATCAGCTGTCATGCAGGTTGCAACTTGCTTCCAGTCTGGATTACTTTTCAGAAAATAAGGATGCTGCTCTCTTTCTAGGTTTTAAATGGTTGGCTTTATACTTTTTTAAAAAAAGAAAATTGGATTCTTTAGAAGTTTTTCAGGGCTCTATTGAGAGTGAATGAAGTTTTGCTTTTCATTTTAATAATATGATACAGTTGCTGATTTTTATATTAAAATTATATTTTTGGTTATAAAAAGAATATATATGAATAAAAATTTTAAGAAAATGTAATAAGGAAGTATATTCAATTAAATAAAATCTGTATAGTTGTTGAAATAAATCCCACTTGGTTATAGTGTACATATAGTGATATGGCTAGAGTTTGTTCTGTAGTGTTTTGTTGACTTTGACGGTCTAAGTGCTTAAAAAGTGTTAATTTAGCTCTCTCTTCATAGTTTCTGAGTTTGATTATATCAGGGTCACTCTGAGTTGACCAAGTTAATTGGGATGCAATCATTCTTCTGGGAGATTTGTAAAAACTTGGCATTCATTCATTCTTTTTTTTTTTTAAGGAACTTTGTGGCTTATCAGATAAGTCCTGTATTCTTGGTTTCCCAAGATTCTTCAATGTGGGAAGATTCTTCAATGTTGACTCATTGTTTCATTGTGATTCTGTTTAATTTTTCTGTTTATTACCAAGCCACCATTAGTAGTGTGTCTTTCTAGGAAGGATTGTGTCATTTAGTTGAGCTAAACTCTCTCTCTCTCTCTCTCTCTCTCTCTCTGTGTGTGTGTGTGTGTGTGTGTTTTCTATAGTAAGTATGTTATAGTATGACATTTAGAAAACAAATAGGCAAAAAACTGACATGGTGCAGGACAGGGCTCAAACTCAGGACCTCACCCACCTTGAGAATTCATTCTACCATTGAGTTGCACCCTTGGTCATGATCTTTTGTTTTTCTATAATGAGTCTGTTTGTTTGTTTTTCTTATAGTTTCTCTGTTTGGCTGGATACTTTTCACTCACTGATCTACTATTAAGTTAGTAGCTTTTTCACAGTCTCCATTTTACTATTGATTTCATCCTATTATGTTTAGATTTCTTGTGGGGTTTTTTTTGCATTATCTTGTTTCTAAAACTTATGTCTACTCTTCCATATCTTTCATTTCTTTGCTGAGACTTTCAGTCTTTACAGACTTTCTGGACCATTTTTAAATGGTTTAGCATCTGTGTACATGATGTGTGTGTATGTGTGTGTGGTGGTGGTGGTGGTGGGGGTCCTGTGCCCAGGGCACACATGTGGAGACCAAAGGGTAACCTTGTGGAGTCAGTTTCTTCTGCCACGTTTGTGTGGGTTCTGGAGCTCAAACTCAGGTTATCATGCTTGTGCGGCAAGCTCCTTCACCCAGTGAGCCATCTCTAGGCTCTGGAGCATTTTAAAAAATACCTATATTACTTGTTAGGAAAGTCAACATTGATATCATACCAGCATTGACATATTTTGATATTATTTTCTAGAAGTTGACCTTGTCTGGATCTTTTTGTGCTATAATTTTGTGTTGTTCCCTGGGTATTTTGAGTATGATTTAGGAGAATCCAAGTCTTATTAAACTCCGTGGAGAAAGTCAGCGGTCCCTCTTTTGCCAGGCAGTTCATGCACTTGGTTTGAGGTCTGTCTTCCTGGCCAGCTTCTGAGCGTGTGGCTTCAATGCCAGCTTTATTTTCTGTGACTTTCAGCGAGCTCTTGAGTGGACGTAACCCAGCATTCAGTCTCACACTGGGCACTGTTCTATCTTGTTTAGTTCTCCAGGTCTTTGTTAGGTTCTGGGAAACATTATTGAGAGTTCTCTAGAGTAACCCTTGCCTGCCCAAACCAGAACCAAAGGCATGCAAGCCCTGATGACACCAAGTGCCTGGCCTCATATTTCAGACTACTCTGAAATGATATGAGACCAGGAGTACCAGAAACAAACTAGAAGTTTCTTGCCCTGTGTTCCTGATTATATCCCTAATGTCAAAGTGGGCTAGTAACTTTTTTAGTTATCTGGATATTTATTTCAATTTAGTTCTGACATTGACTACCCAGAGTCAATACCGACTCTGTGCTTTCACAACCCACAAGACTTCTCTCCCATCAGGCATTTGACACGAGTTCGAGGTTTCCAGATCACTTACAACGCTCTGTCAGTCTCATGAGTCCCCTGACCCCTTCAGGGCTGTCATTTTCTGTAACAATTCACAAGACTCAGAACAGTACTCTACAGGTAAGTAAAGATTTATTCTAAGAATACAAATCAAAATTAGATAAATAAAAACACACATGAGGGAGGGGCTGGCAAATGGTTCAGTGAGTTTGAGTGATTTCTACTGGACCTGAGGACCTGAGGTCAATCCCTGGAACACACACTGTAGAAGAAGGCACTGACTTTTGAAAGTTTTTTTCTGACCTCTGCACAACCACCATGCCTCTTTCATGGTCTTCACTTACGCATATAGGGTGTGGGTAAAGCTTGGATTGTTGCCCTAAGCAAAACCTTCACCCCTTCACCCAGTGGAATTGCAGTGATTGCTTTCCTGACACTTTGGGGTTTACTAGCTGGGAAGTTGACTTGAGCCTCAGTGTTCAGCTTGTATTGGGGTTTCAGTACTTAGGCACGAAAGCTAAAATCTTTGGCTTTGAGTTGGACTAAGTCTCTAGTCCCCCACCTCCCTAGTAGTCAGTCAAATAGGAACATTCTAACCCTCTAAACATGTGATGTGTCTTTCTGGCATGACCAGCCTACATCTTGAGTTACCCCTCTACATAACCTCTGGTGTGATCTGAAGGGTCACCATGTATAACAAGAATAAACCTGTCACTGAGACAGAGTTTAGAACCCAGAACAAGGCCAACTACATTGGCTTGTTGCTATCTAGCACTAAACTGCATATATAACAACAAAAGTTTAATAACTATTGCTTTCAATGGAAGTGAAAGAAAATAATAATTCAAATGGCAGCAAACCCTAGCAAACTTCCCTTTTTAAGACCTAATAGGGATGTCTTTTTAAAGACCTAGTAAATGCACTTTACTTAAGGCCTAACAGAGCTTCCTTCATTAAATAAGGCCTAGGCACTTCCTGAGAACTGTTAAAGCAATAACATACTCAACTGTCTTGGATCCTTGTGACATATGAAGCTAAACATGAGTATAGGAAGAGAACTACAATATTCTATTTAAGCTTTTCAGATTCACTAAATGTAATAGTGATATACTCACACATGAATATAGTATCACTTAGATGCCTACAACACTTAGGTTTCAACTGTGAGTACTATGTTAAGGCATGTAGTTGATTCTTTAGTCCAAGAACAATGATGTTGAAAATGCAGTGAGCTTGGTAAGGTGACTCAGGACTGTTATCCCAGAACTTGGGAAACAAAGGCAAGAGGTTCTCTGTGAGTTCAAAGACAACCTGGGATACACTGTGAAATCTAGGATAACCTAGGCTGCCTAGTGAGACAAAGGGGGGGGGCTTTAATGTAGCTAACTTTTAAAAAAATAAATAAATTTACTTATTTATTTATTTTACATCCCAGCCACAGTTTCCCCTCGCTTTTCCCCTCTCATATCTCCCCAGCCCCTTCTGTTCCACCCCCAATTCATGGGTCTTGAGATAGATTGATTCGCAATTTTCTGAGAAACCACCATACTGATTTCCATACTGTACAGGTTTGTCTGCCCACCAGCAGTGGAGGAGTGTTCCCCTTACTCTATGTCCTCTCCAGAATGAGCTGTCTCCTGTGTTTTCGATCTTAGTCATTATGACATGTATAAGATGAAATCTCAGAGTCCTTTTGATTTGCAGCTAGCTTTTTTTTTTCTTTGTAAAATATACTGCTTGGTAAACAAATTCTGTTAGCCAACATTTGTTACTTGTTTGCCTACAGCTAGGGTGCATGTTCCTTTCTAAGCTTACAATTCTATCTGCTAGAACTTAAGCCTCTGGGAGAGGTTAAGTCTTTTTCACAAACCCAGCATAGTCTGGCAGTTGTTTAGCCGTACATGCTGTGTGATGGAGTGACAGAGAATTTTAAATAGTAATTCTACCTATGCCTAATTTACTGGTGAATTGATAATAATACAAATTTGCTAAGGATTTTCTCTAGTTCTGACACATTTACACAGACGTATATGCAGGCAAAACACCAGTGCACATAAGATAAAAACAAGTAAATTATATTAAAAGAGAAAAACAACATAGTTAGGTTAGAATGTGTGGTATTGTATAGGTGTTCTGCTGTTGCCAGGTGTCATTTGAAGTAGAAGCTGCCTTGCAAAGATGTATCTTGAGCCACCCTGAATCTCTGAGCTAAAGCCATCTTGGTCATTGTGGGCAATCTTGTTGATATCTTCTTGAATTCTATATGCAAGTATTTTATGAGAATTTTTCTATTTGTATGTATAGGGAATATTGGTCTGTTTTATTTCTTTATTTTTCCAGGTCTTTGTCTGTTTTAATATCAAGATAGCAATAGCTTCATAAAAATAATTAGGAAGTGTTCCTTCAGTTTATAATTTTTTGAAATAATGTGTTCTTTGAGGGTCTGGTACAATTTTATTCTACACTGAATCAGTCTGGCTTTGGTTTTGTGGGGAGATATTTTTTCATTTTTGATTTGACTGGGGGATTTTTAATTAGTGGTTCTATTTCACTAGGGGTTAGGGATCTGTTTAAATTATTTATTTCATCTTGACCTAACTTTATTAGGTTATATACATCAAGAAATTCACTCTTTTTATTGAGGTATTCTAGTTTGAAAGGATACAGATTTTTAAAATGTGTCTGTATAATGCTCTGAATTGCTTCAGTTTCTGCTGCAATCCTCCTTTTCGTTTCCAGTTTAGTTAGTCTGGATCTTCTCTCTTTCTTTTAATTAATATGGCTACTGATTTGTGAATCTCGTTAATTTCCCCAAAAGTTCAAATCTTCACTTCATTTGTAGTTTGTATTTTTTTCCTGTTTATTTCAAGTCATTGATTTCAGCCTTGGACTTGTTTCTTACTTTCTACTTATTCTGGTGGTACTATTTCTTTCTTGCTTTTTTCTAGAGTATGGAGGTGTGTCACTAAGTTATTATTATGCAGTTTTCCAGGGTTGGTTTGTTTGTTTGCTTTATCCATTCTTCTTTCTTTCTTTTTTCCCTCCCTCCTTTCCTCCCTCCCTCCCTCTCTCCCTCCTTCCCTCCCTTCCTTCCTTCCTGTTCTTCTTTCTTCTTCTTTTTTTAATGTAACCACTTAGTGCTAGAACCTTGTTTTTTAGAACTGCCTTCATGGTGTTCCATATGTTTGGATATGTTGTGTTTTCATTTTTATTCAATTATAAAAAGTTTTAAATTTTCTTCTTTATTTCTATCTTGACCAATTTTTCACTCAGTAGTGAGTTGTTTGGTTTCTATGAATTTGTAAACTTTCTGCTATCTCTGTTGTTGTACACATATATTGTATTTTTATACATAAATTAATTCATTAACATATTTTATTTTTCAGGTATAATTGGAATTCATAAAAATGTCAGGTACAATTTTATTAATTTCTTAAGATTTATTTTATTATTTTAAGGTGTGTGTGTGTGTGTGTGTGTGTGCACGTGTGTGCGTGCGTTTGGGTTACACACGTGAGTTCTAATGCTCATGGAGGCCATATGTGTCTGATCCCCATTAAGCTGGTGCTATAGACAGTTGTGAGCAGCCTAGTATGGTTGCTGGGATCTGAACCTGGAAAAAGCAAAATGAGGACTGCAAAAGCAATAAGGACGCAACTGCTGAGCCCTCACTCCAGCCCTTTTACTTTTACTAGTTTTTAATGTTTTGTTCCACATGTGAATTATGTGGTTGTTTTCTTTGAAGAGGCCTATTTTATTCTGAAATATTTGTCTAGTTAACATTTCGTTATATTTGTGTGGCTGTTATTTGTACATATAAGCCTCTGTAAGGGGAGGAAAAGCAGCTCGTATTTGCACACAGACCTGAAAGGTCTTTAAATGTTGAGAATAACTCAAATGAAACAAAAGAAAAAATGGGAGAGCAAATGCAGACAGAAAGAACTGTGGCCTTTGGTCTGGATGTGGGAGAGCGAAATGTTGGCTCTCCTTTTGGGTATAAGAAGGGAAACATCACAGCTACAGTCTTTTGTTTTCTTTGTCAATCATTTGTTTATGAAATTGAGACTCTCCCTCCTTATAGCGTGTCAAGTAAGGATTTCCTTTAATATCAAGAACAAAGTATAATATCATGAACTGGCTTCTGTACTACCCTTGCAGCAACCACCGAGACACTGTGACCAAGTGGCTTTTGGAAAAATACAATAAGAATGTGCATCATTACAGGTGTGGGCTGTACCAACTCTGACCGATGTGTTTATGACTATATTAGATTCTCAGCTAGAGAGAATTTGTTTATTTAATGTTTTGAACTTAGACACCATATTCTCAAAAGATTATGAAGAATCAGCTTTCTATTTCCAGTGTTTCCCACATAATAATAGAGTGAATCATGATGGTCTGTGATGGACTAACTGTGCATGCAGGAGTCTGCAGAAGGTCAGCTGAAACAGGAGCATGAATGCTTGGCCTCATTCTCTAAACTATGGTCAATGTAAAATTTATGAAACTTATAAATAGATATTTTTCCTAAGAAATATGAGTGTATTTGCTGGTACCTGTAAGAGGAAAACAGTGCATTTTATGATCATGCTATCACTTACTGTGTGGGTTGTTCCTCTCTTCCTCCAGGTGTGGTCCCCACAGACCCTGAGCAGCCTGCAGGAGAGATGGAAAAGCAGATAATATCACCAACTGCAGTGCCCGATGCCCCTCCTGACTACAATTCTCATTTTGTTCCCGGTAAGGTAAAATTTTAAGAATAACCCTCCTCCCGAACACCATAGCGATAGTTAAGGTTACTTTCTCAGCAAATATCTGATTCAGCAAATACGTACCGAATGTTGAGAGAGTGTGACGTTTAGCATATTCCTGTGATCACAGGCTGTGCTGTGGAGGCCCCGAGGAAGGAAGTTGTCAGAGTAAGGATGACATTCTCTATGTTCCTAGTGGACAGATGAAGAGGGAATGGTGGGAACACAGAGGATGCTGCTGTCTGACCCTTCCAGAGATTGGAGGGGAGCTGCAATTGAATAAAGCAGGCTTTGCTGTATAAGAATTTGATAAAGTTACACAAGTGTTGATGAAGCTCTGGTAAATGGCAGGAGGGGGCAGAGACATAGAAAAACATAGCTATGAACAGTGATTAAGTCACTGGCATAGATTTTTGTGTCTTAAGACTATTGGTGGAGACTCAGAATGAGAGGTTCTCCAGTACTAGAGTAAATTTTAGATAGTATAGTCACATTAGGAAGTAACTACACCATTTCCAAGAAGTAAACATTGTTAGAATTGGTCACTATGGGAAATATTTGCTTTTCTCTATATCAGAAATAGGTGAGACTGGGGATTTAGCTCATTGGTAGAATCTTGTCTAACAAATGAAGGCCCTGTTCAGTCCCGGGAGGCAGCCTTCAAATTAAATAGGTAGATTGAAAATGTATCCTTTGCCAAATACACTGCTGATGAACTGTCTCGACAGGGAAAAGTCACTGTGATCGCCATCTAGTGGCTAGGCCATATCCTTCAAAAGTGGTTGACAGTTTCACATATGTGGGTCCGGTGAATTATGGCGGATCTCAGTAGCTTTCATCTGTGTTACTTTGTCACCCCCCCATCTTCTTTTTGTTTCCCTGAAAGTCCCCTCCTACTTGGGTATCTCTCTCTCACCCTTCTCCGTATGTGTGCGCCTCTGTCTCATTGTTTCTGTCTCTGTGTGTTTCTCCCTCTCACCTTCTCTCTGTCTCTATCTGGTGTGTGTGTTCACGTGTTTGTGTGTTTATGCATGTGTGTGCGCGTGTGCGTGTGCGTGTGTGTGTGTACGTGTGTGTATGTCCCAGAGTTTGGTTAGCATTGCTTTCATGAAGATAGGAGGGAGGCTACTTAGTTACAAGAGTATAAACGGTAAAAACATGATACCGTTTTTCCCAGCAACTATTAACTGCTAGGAGTTCCTCAGGGAGATGTGAGGTCTCATGAGCAGGCAGCCACAGGTGCAGTTGGTTCGTGAAGGCAACACCTGTGCTGTGTATGCAAGATGCCTTTTTGCAGCATGCCTCTGTTTTGCCAGCGAGCACATTCTCCTGGAAAGTCAGTGTTGTAGCTCACAGGGTGCCTCGCTGGGTAAGATGACTGCTGGCGGTCCCAGCAGCTTGTGTAACACCTTCTGGCAGTGTGAAAACCAGCCATCAGGGAAGAAGTTTTTACTTCACTGCCAGCTTGATTTCTGTGTCTCTGTCTATATCCAAAGAGTATGGTTTGTGTTTTGGCAGTAAGATTGCACCATCAAGTTCAGCTGTGGGACCAAGAGCAACGACAAAAACCTAGTTATTTTGAGAGCCTCTGGCACCTCCATGACCAACAACTCAAAAAAGTGTCAATTCTTATGACACGAATTATGTTCTTATAACTCACAGAAACCAGAAATAATATGCTTGTAAAATTTGATTTAATGAAATTATTTAGACTCGGATTTAATTTTAATTTCCATTATAGTTCTAAATGTATTCTCCAACCAAAAATAATGCTATCCAGAATTATTCTTTAAAAGAGTAGTTAATAAATAAACCATTGTTATATGGAACCTATTTGAGAAGAAAAAAAAATGTCATGGCTTTTTAAAATAAAAAACAATGGTAACATTAAAAATTATTAAGAATGAAATCCCATAGGTAGTTTCTCACAATGCCATTGGTAGGTGGCTTTATTCTAGAGTTTTCTGTAAATTAATGTGAGCTCTTGTGGTTACATAAATTTAAACATGGATTGCTTTGTTTCAGTTTGTTTTCTTGCAGAAACAGTCAAAACCCTTAAGGTCAATTTTCAACTCAGAGAAGCATAGGTTACTAGTTTCTTACACATAATTTTACCACTTTTTTCTTCTTCATTTTTAATGTGGATTAATACATCTTTACAATAAAACTCACTCATTCATATAAATTGGTTATAACTACAGAAATTTAATCATATTGAATAAGTCTATAACATAAATTCTACTTTTCTTCTGGCTATTGATCATGAACTTTTATTGCTTCAAGTGCTTTTATATTAAAAGTACAAGATATGGTAATTAACTCCTTTACATAATATAGTGATCAGTATTCTTTAATCGGGGGCTTTGTGACTCTGAGGAGGCTCACTGACTATTGTAAGGGTAAAGTAGTCCTTTTGGGGATGAAAGTACATTCTTCATGATAAACACAAACTGTCCCTCATTCTTCTTCCATAGCTTCTCACCTTTGCTCTCATTTAGTTCTAAGTTTAAAGCATTTTTAGATACTACTCTCCATCATTTAATTATACTTTATCAAGAGCTCTATCCCTATTCTTAATAGTTAGTTTTGCCCAAGTTCTTTGGTATACTCACCTGGCTCCCCTTCTTTTCCAACCTCATTTCCTTTCACACTCTCTCTCATCAAGCCATCTTGATAATCCCACTAGTTTTGTGCATTTTAACGTAGTTGTAAATTCCATCCCGACCCACATGGGCATGCTACACTTTAGATTTACAGTTACGACTTCCTGTAGACCATTCTCTGTATAGATACAGGTTCTCCAACATAATCATCAAACCAACTTTGACATTTTCCTCCCAGACTTGTACTGTTTTCCACATGTTGGAGACGTGTAGGAACATGAAGTAGAAACTTTAGAATCTTCCCTTAATAACCAGTCCACTACCAAGTTAACACATTTTTAAATGTCAGTTTTAATGGCTTCTTCTTTTTACTCTGTCTTTGTCACAACTGAACTTCCTTGCCTTACATCTGAACTCTGGCAAGCAACTCCCGCTTAATGTAACCTTGTATGGTGAGGGTTACAAATGTGAAGCATCCACTCTGCAGTCTGTTGGTACAAAGTTCAAGCTCTAGATACACATACAGTTTACCCATATTCTTTTCTTCCCCCCTCTCTCCCTTCCTCCCTCCCTCCCTCCCTTTCTTCTTTCTTCCCTCTCTCCCTTCCTATATCACTCTCCCCCTCCCACCCCTCTCTCTCCCTCTCTCCCTTTCCCTTTTTCTCCATCTCCCTCTCCCCTCCTCCCTCTCTGTCTCTGTCTTTCTGTCCCTCTCTCTCTCACCCTCTCTCCCTTTCTCTCCCCCCCCCCCTTTGCTTTTGGAGACAGGGTTTTTCTGTGTAACAGCCCTGACTGTCCTGCAACTCATTCTGTAGACCAGGCTTGCCTTGAACTCACAGATACCTTCCTGCTTCTGTCCCCTGAGTGCTGGGATTAAAGGCGTGCGCCACCACTACCTATCAGGTTTGCCCATATTCCTACCTACCTTATTCCGAGCTTTGTCCATCAGCACTCCACAAACAACCCTTACTTCTGCAGGGCTAATCCCATTTTGTAAAGTTCTTCTTCTGTTCTATATTCTCATAAAACTGTTTCTTCAACGGAGGTCAGGTTAAATGAGTTAGAATTTATCATAATCCATCTTGCCTACATGGGTTAACAGCCACTCTTCTCATCCTTTAGTACACTAAGCATCTCTCTGTGATTTCTTCAGCTACTTGCTTTATAATGATCATTTGCTTTTCTTACAAGCATGAATATGCTCCAAAATACCAATATGTGTTTAAGTCTGTTTCTAGTCTCAGTCATAGCTACTGGTCCTCGAAGTTGGTATGATAAATGCTTCCTAGACAAAGTAATATATATCTCATAGCTTCGTTTTGAGATTGTGTTAGAGAATTGATTTTGTTGTTCATGACTATTTATTAGTCTGCTTTTTATAAGAGATTGGAATGTCACAGATTCCCTTAGCTTCAAAACTATTCTTCCTTGATGGCTTTTTCTTTTTTTAAATTAATTTATTTATTTGTTTATAACAATTTCCACTTCCTCCCCTCCTCCCCATATCCTCCCATTCCTCCCACTCCCTCTCCTCCCCCCCCCCCCCCCCCCCCCCCCCCCCCCCAGTCCCAAGAGCTCTCAGGGTTTCCTGCCCTGTGGGAAGTTCAAGTTCCTCCCCTCTCCCTCCAGGTCTAGGAAGGTGAGCATCCAAACAGACTAGGATCCCAAAAAGCCAATACATGCAGACAAAACAAGACCCAGTGCCATTGTCAATGGCTTCTCAGTCAGCCCCCATGTCAGCCACATTCAGAGAAGAGCCCCCAAGGTCCAAATGAGGAGCAGAAGGAGGGAGAACATGAAAAAGGAAATCAGGACCGTGAGGGGGGCGTTCACCCTCTGATACAAGGGGACTGATCTGATGAGAGCTCACCAAGGCCAGCTGGACTGAGACTGAACAAGCATGTGACCTTGATGTCTTTTTCAAAATTACTCTCTTTAATATCTAATACACAAGGATTTGAGTTTTTACACAACTCGTTTTGCAGAAAATGATATCTTTTGCTATTTTTCACTTCAAGAAACTTCTTCAAGCTCTGAGATTGTGTCTTTCTTGTACTTACTTTTCTCAGCATTGGTTAATCCGAGACCACTTTGATTCCATGACTGGGATGTGTGTATGTAGTTTAAGGATTGAGATAGCTGTTGGCACTAGAGTTGCTAAACCAAAGGCCCTCCACAAAATCCTTTAGAGAGTGTTCCTATTTTTACTTATGATAGCATATTTGCTTATGATACAGTGGGATAATGATGTAATGCAGCTAAGTGTACAATAAATGTTATATAATGAAGAAATAGATGCACAAAAGGTCTTTGAAAGTTCAACATTCTTTCTCAAACAAAGAAAAAAAACCCTGAAGAAAATACAAATAGAAGAAACCTTTCAATATAATAATGGCTATATAGGTGCCATATATAATGTACACTATACTCAAAAGAAAAAAAATGAGTATTTTCTTATCTGAAACAAATGCAACCACTTTCTCCATCTTATTCAGCATAATGCTTGAACTCTAAGCTAGAGCAGAAAAACAAGAAAAAGAAATTGGAGGACTACAAAGAGAAAGGGACAAAATCTAAATACTCCCATTTGCAGATGACATGATTCTATACTTAAAAGACCCAAATAACTCCAGCATGAAGCATTTATCCCTAAAAACATTTGCAGAAAATAGCAGGATGTAAGAACAGCATTAAAAAAACAGTTGTCTTACTCTAGACCAATTACAGCTTTCCAGGAAAAATTCCATTTACAATGCTTTCAATATAATAAAATACATTAGAATAAAACCCCTAACCATAAAAGTTTCAAAAAAGTGAAACCATGTAGGAAAGAAGTAGAAGAAAACACAAGACTTCTCATGACCATGAATTTGGGAGCTGATGTTATAAATATGGCTGTATTGTTAAAAATGACTTTCAGGTGAAGAACAATCTCCAACAAAACCTCAATGTATTCTTCATAAAACTAGAACATATAATCCTAAAATTCATACAAAAGCAAAACTGTCAGAATAGCCTAAAGTTTCCTAAGCAGAAAAACCAATGCTGAAAATATCAAAATGCATAATCTTAAATTGTATTAAAGACCTGTTGTCACAAAAATTGAATGATACTGGCACACACACAAAAAAAAGAGACACAGATGGCTCTAATTTAATGTCTATTGCTGAGATAAAACATTGACCAAGACTAACTTGGACAGGTAAAGTTTATTTCAGTTTACAGATCATAGCCTACCATCCATCATAGATGGGAACCTGAGGCAGGAGCTCAAGGCAGGAACTAAAGTAGAGACATTGGAGGAATACTGCTTCTTTCCTCTGGCTTGCAAAGCTGTCTTCCTTGTACAAAGCCCAGGACGACCCAGGTCTCCCATCCCAAAGATGGCACTGTTCACATTGGCCTGGGCCATACCACATCAACATCAATTACCACCCAAGAAAATAGACCACAGGGATGCCCATAGACCAGTCTTATGGAAGCATTTCCTCAATGAAAGTTTTCTCTTAGAAGTGTGTCAAGTTGACAACCATCACATAAGCCAGTAAAATAGAGGATTTAGAGATAAATCCAGAGATATAGCCACCAAATTACAAAGTTGTCACAAACATACACTGTGTGTGGGGTGGGTGGATGTTGCCTGCACTTTTCTGTGAAATCCCAAACCCGAAACAGGCGCGCGCTTTCCCGAATCGAGCCCACGAGAATGGATGAATATCCTAAGGGTTGAAACACAAAGAAACCATGCTCATTCACCAAAGAGTAAATGGCAACTTTATTAAACACAGGTCGGGTGGCAAAAGGGCAAAGCCCCCTCCCATCCGGAGCAGTGGAAGAGGTTGTCAGGTGTCAGTGCCCAAGGCCAGGAGCAGCTGTGGGTGGCAGGCGTTTAGGGCCTGCGACAGGATCCTTGCTTGCAGGTGGAATTACCATAACAAAAGAGGGCCAAGTTCTTTCTAAGCTAAATCCTCAGGCCGGTGCAATATCAGAGAAGCCAGGAAACCAGAGGTAAAATGGCCCTGCATAGCACCACGAACAAAAGGGGAAGAAACCTGAGTACCTACAGGTGGAGACAGTATCTTTTAACAAATGATGCTAGGGAAAGAAATTAAATGATCAGGGGCTTCGGTGAAAGTGTTGTAGAAAAACACTTAAGATAAAGGCACAAGCAACACATCTATGAGAAGGGCTTTAGTAGCACAGGAGACACTTCCAGGAATGGACAGATGGGATTGCATGCAATTAAAAATCTTCTGCATAGCAAAGGTCACAAACAACAGAAGATGCCAGCCTACAAAGTGTAGAAAATATTGCTGGCTGCACATCAGATGGAGCATTAACATCTAGAATAATAAAAATGTGAACAAAAACCTAATCAACAAACAGGCTAATGGCATGAGTGGACAGTTCAGAAGAGGAATACAAACACCATAAAACACTTTTAAAGTTTCATTATGGGGGAGGACAGTTGGTACAAACATACAAGGGTCAGAGTGAGTGTGGAAAGAAAGGCTCACTTTGGAAGTTGTTTCTCTCATTTCATTCTGGGTTCTGTGGACAGAACTCAAGTTCAATACTAAAGAGGATGTAGAAAAAGAGTCTCAATTTACTGTTGGTGGACTGAATATGTAAATTCAGGCAGCCACGATAGAAATCATCAAGGAACTTCTCAGAAAGGTGAACAGAACTGCCATATCAGTCCTGGTTATGCATCTGAAAAATTCTCAGTCAGAATGCCACAGAGATACTTGTCTAGATGTCCATCAACACACTTGGTATGATTTTATTTTTCTTAAGGACATGGTTTCACTTTTGTAATCCTCACTGTCCTGGAACTCTCTCTGCAGATGAACCTGGCTTTACACTTAGAGAGTGATGGATATCCTCGATGTTCATCAACAGGTGAATGGTGAGGAAGACTAGTGTAACATAATAGAATATATATGGCATGGAAACAGAAGGGGAGGTGGTTTGGAAAGGAAGGGTACCATTAGGGAAGAAGAAGGGATGAGGAAGCAAAGAGAAGGGAAAAGATGACTAGGCACATGTGTGAAAATGCCCTAACGAAACCACTTTGTATGCTAACTTAAAAAATGGTTTAAAATGATCACCAAAAAAGTCAGAAAGTTTGAATTTTCCTATTTATACATACTAGCTCGTGTCCTTCAGTAAGTTATTCAATCTCTGGCCCAAGAAGAGCTGCCAGCATATATCCTTTTAATGCCAGCATTCAGGAGGAATGCAAAGGCAGGTAGGTGGATCTTAATAAGGATAAAGCCAGCCTCATCCTGGAAGAGTTCCAGGCCAAACAGGATTACAAAGTAAAACTGTACTTTAAAAAATGTTCATACCAAATGTGTACACGGATGGGATGACAGCAGTGTTATTGTAATCACCAACATGAAGGTGACCCAAGTGTCCTTGAGTTAAAGGACACAAATAGTGTGGTAGATTTCATATTATAGAATATCACTCAATCATAGAAAAGAATAAAGTATGAAAAACACTATACATGTGCTGTAACATAGATGGAAGACAAAAACGTACAGATTGAGAGAAACCTAGCACCCAGGTTATATGCTGTACACATTCATCTATGCGGCATGACCTGCCTAGGAAAACCACAGATAACGGTTTCAAGAGATGAGAGAGGGAAACGTGAGTGGCTGCTAATGGATGATAACGCTTCTGGATTTAGGCAGTGAGGATAGTTTCTCAAATTTGCTAGCACTAAAGCAACAGCAAAGCCCACTGAATTTAGAGAAGGAAAGAAATCAAGATGACTTTCTTCATTATGTTGAATTGGAAATAGTGGAAAACTAGGCCAGGCATCTGTTATTGAGAACTCCAGGCTATTTTTTGAAACACTATGATTGTGGTATACTGAGCCACAATTAAACAAACAACCCTGAAATAATTTACTTATATGTTTGAGAGTAGTAGATTTAAACAACCACTTTTAAAAAATCTTCATCTGATTTTGTTTTTCCATACATCCTTCCTCTGTAGCAAACATGACTTCAGCAGGCCTGGTGGAAGAGGAGATCATGCATTAGTTATTGTATGGTATTTTATTATTCTGAATACCCCTCTAAAAACACTGGGGAATGTTGTTCCTGGGGTCTTGAATGATTTATGATGGCCTCGATATGGCTTATTTGATTTTGGATTACTTTTGAGTGTGGAGAATTGACCATAACTATGGCTAAGAATTATGAATTGAACACTGTCTACCCTTACTCCAAATTTACCTGCTGGGCCCTATAATGAGGATTGGGGGTGGAGTCTTTCAAGGAGTTTTTAGAGGTTCTGAGATGAAACCATTTATGGTGGAGTTGGTGCTCTTATGACAGATGGCGAGAGAGTGATGACCAGAGTATTCTTGAAGAGTACGCTCCTTAGGTCAGGAAAAGGGTGAACACAGGCTGGATTTACAGTTGATCTTGAAGTTGCAAGCTTAGAGCCAGGGAAAGTAATGCTTGTTATTGAAAATAATCCACTTTCAGTAGCCTGGTAAAGAAATGAGCTTAAGAAGTTGGGTCTGAGAGATATCAGTGTTGGTAATCGGTCTGATGTCTAGATGAAAAGACAAAGAAAAGTGATTGAGCAAAGGCAACCCAGCATAGATGGTAAAGACCCCTTTGCAATAACTAGTGAAAATGACAATGATAATTGCGTGCTAGACTTTGTACTGACCCCATTAAAACCAATGAAGTGCATTTATGATCAGTAAAGGAGAAGCCTCATCCAGTGAGAGGCTACTTTGTTTCTCAGTGTGTCAATCTCTATTTGCATATCTGTTAAATGGGAATAATTATGTTACAAGTTTTAAGAGGATCAGATTAACTAATATGTGAATAATTCCCTTAGTATGTTGCTAACATATTAGGTACACACTCAGAAAACAGAGGTCTTGTTTTCTTTAAGAACATGTTGCACGGTTACTTTTTAACGTAAAAATTATATAACTTCAATACACTAAAGTGATAATACATGATATTTTCATCTGTTTGAGAACACAGGCCCTGCTGGACCAGCTGTCCCTCCACCTACAGGCTTGCCTATGGGATACAACATTCCACAGCATTCTGGTGCCATCTCTTTATATTATCCTACTGGTAGTACCCATCCTATTCAGTACCAGCCTGGCAGATATCCTATGACCAACCAGCCTGCTCCAGTAATGTGGATGCCAGGACCACCTCCTATGCCCAACTGCCCTCCTGGTCTGGAATACTTAGCTCAGGTACTGTAATACATCAAAAACGTTTTCCTTTGAAGTTTGCCCCTGGGGTGTGAACAGAGGAAACAAGGTATTGGCTAGAGTGAATAGGGTCACTGACGACAGAGGCTGGCTCGCTGAGAGTCATGATGGGGGATTTACAGGTAGACAGTGGGTACAAGGACACATTCATAGGGCACATGAGTTCCTTTTGATGGAATAAAAGTGATTTTCAAATTATTCAATGTGACTTTCTCTAGGAAATAAGAAAAATAGGAATGAGAATCACTAACCTGATGCTATGCCATTTACTTAGAAGTAAAGTGTTCACACTGAGAAAAAGAGAGTAAGAAGAGAGAACTAGACAAGGGGAGGCGGTGGGTCACAAAATGTACAACCCACAACTTCTTCTCAACATCTCAGACTCTTTAACATTCCTGAGCCCCCAAACACATAATTCTAAGTAAGTATAAGATACTTCTTCAAATCAAAATCCATGTCTTCTTCATACAGCACAGTGACTGCCAAATTTCTTGTACATGTAAATCAAAGAGCCAGAATAAAAACTGTAACGCTGTTATGAGACATTTTGGTGGATAAACGTGTAATGGTTGTCATGTTGTTAACACACAGAGGCATGCACAACAGATGCTGGCTGCGGACACTATTAATTACACATTCTTGTGTTGTTTCTCTGTTAGGTGGCTTGAGGTGACACATACAGATCATGTGCTACTTTGTTAAGACTACCAAGTGGCCTTCTCCACCCACGGCAGCTTTAGAATCTTTTCAGAGTCTTGTACTTGACAGTGACCCCACATGTTTTTCTATTTCCTGCTGGCACAGCAACTCACTAGGAAATTTCAGCATCAGCAGTGATAACAACATTTCTCCCTGCAGTAGGCACTTTTATGACATAGTCAATGCTTTTATTCTTATTTCCACATTTTAATTTCTTAGTATTTTACAAAGGGAAGTGTAAGGAATTGTAGGAGCCATTTTGATGTCCTATATGAAATGATCCCTTATTAATTTGTAAGTTTTATATTGAACATGGACTGTGTCCTCCTATATCCTTTTGTAGCTAATCACACAATTTCATCCATAGCCAGTTGTTTATTTTTCTTGTTATCATACTCACATACCTTTCATTATTTAATGAATTTTGATGAAATGCAACATTTTAGGCAGTATACTGGGTTTAGTGATTATGGATGGTCTAATGACATAAATGATTTCTAATTATGTTGGTTAAGATCTGTCTGTCCTAGAGGAGACTGTCTGTCTTCTGCTGGGGTGTTCTGAATTGTAACAGAAGATAAAACCACTAAACTATCCATCATCAAAGTAATTCCAATACCGTTAAAGTAGAAGTTTCTCTGATGGTGCTCCTAACTTTCCTTTCCATAGACTGCTACTTTAGAATGTTTCCCTCCAGACCCCTTTTCCCAGATGCTACCCACATGGTGCTACCCTCATGCATCCATACTGAAGTAGGCAGTTGGGCAAGAATCTGGCATTAGGTAAATGCAGGTGAATGCAAATCCATGCACTTAATCTCTTTGAAAGATACTCAGGAAGTAATGTGGAGCAGAGGTCTTATTCAGGCTTACTCTGGCTTGTTCACCTTCCCTAAACCACAAGAGCATCACATGTGTCTAGTCTATGTTAAGTCATCCTGACTGACTCCCACGTGAACATCTCAGAAAAGATGACTGAGAAACAGCCAGAGGTCCTTTACATGTACCTGGCTCCCCAATGTGCTGTCTCTGTAGCAAGCAGATGTTTTCCAGTTGTCAGTCAGCTCTCTGATTTTTAATGTGAAACCACCTGAACGTGTTTTTCTGATTTGGACACCTTTGCTAATATCCATCTAATTGGATGCTGATAAGATAATCTCAGTTGATTGCATTTTTAGATTCCATTCAATTTTCAGAGAGATATTTGGCATCAATTGATACATTCTAATTACTATTCTTATTTTATTTCATGCACATAGGTGCTTTGCCTGCATATATATCTGCTCACCACTCCCATCCTAGCACCCAGGGAGACCAGAAGTGTGCATCCGAGCCCCTAGAATGTGGGTTAGAGATGGTTGTGAGCAACCATGTGGGTTCTGGGAACCAAACCTACATCGTCTGGAAACATGACTGGTGCTCTTAAGGCTGAGCCAGCTCTCCAGCCCCTGGTTGACAGATTTTAATATCGTGTCATCATATTCTTTCCTCTTACTGATTAAAATTAATTCTGGTTTTCTGTCTTCTAATTGCTTTGGCTCTGTTCCCACAGCTGGACAGCATACACGTACTTCAGCATTTTGAGCCTCTGGAAGGTATGTATAATTGTGTTTTGACTAGCATTGTGATTTGAGTAGCAGTATTTTTTAAAAGATGTGTATATTTATTATGTATACGGTGTTCCATCTACGTGTATGCACCAGATGTATGCATCATTACAGATGGTTGTAATCCACCATTTGGCTGCTGGGAGTTGAACTCAGGACCTTTGGAAGAACAGCCAGCAAGCAGCCAGTGCGCTTAACCTCTGAGCCATCTCTCCATCCCCCTGATTAGCAGTGTTTTAATCAGATAGAAATTTGTATTACTTCATACCTAGTGCCTTATTTTCTGTCGATGAGCTTTTAGTGATTCAAAGAGAGAAGGCTATTCTTTATTACCTTATCTTCACAAAAGCAGTGGAGTGAATTTTCTATGTAGTTTTATCGATCAATACTCCATACACTGATAATCTCTTAGATTCAGAAATGACTTGCATTTAATCTGGCTAGTCCCTTGGACCACATGTCTTTTTTTCCCCTCTGCATTCATCTTATTTGGAAGAGTACAAGAAGAAGAAGGTGAGAGGTGATCGTAGCTAGCCAGAGCCCCACACTCTGCTAGGGTCAGTGGCAAAGAGAGAGCAGAGTCTTATACCGCTGAGTTCCAGTCTGTGGCTGTTGCTATGGAAGTCTGAATAAATGATCCCAGTCAGGTGACGCTGTGCTCTTCTCAATTACCTGCTTGCTTACCCATTCTCGGGTAGGAGCTGGGCACACCCCTATGGGGACCACACAGGGCTGTGATTTTTCTGGATTTATTTTCTTATCTTCGGGGAGCACGTGCCTAGCCATTTCATCAGTTCCACATGCTGATTAATTCATGATCTGATATCTGATTCTTTAAAATGGATTTATTACTAAAATTTCTGAATTCTTTTATTCCAGGAAAACTGTATTAACCATTACTTTATGTGGGAAAACTTAAATAATTTCATATTAAGCTTAGCAATTGCTTAAAATTCTTAAAATGCTTAACCCTCATGGCTCACATGGTTGGATTTCACCTGAAATTTTAAAAAGCTATTTGGCTTTCATAAGTCCTAACCATACTTCTTCCTTTTTTCCTTCTTTCTTCCTTTCTTTTTCCTTTCTTTCTTCCTATCTTCCTTTCTTCTTTCTTTCCTTCCTTCCTTCCTTTCTTTTCTTTAAAGTAGCAAAGGCAACTTTAGACCTGCTTTGACTGGTTCTAATTTAAGATTCTTTCTTCATTCTAACTTTTAGTGATGACGGGTTTTGAAACTAATAATAGGTATGATGTCAAGAACAACATAGACCAGATGGTTTACATCGTAACTGAAGACACAGATGACTACACCAGGAATGCCTATCGGAACCTACGACCCTTCGTGCTACGGGTCACTGACTGCCTGGGCCGAGAGATCATGACCATGCAGAGGCCTTTCCGATGCACCTGCTGTTGCTTCTGCTGCTCCTGTGCGAGGCAAGAGGTCAGAGAACAGGAGCAGAATCGACACTTGTTTCCTGACTTGCCCTTTACAATGTGATCTGTCTTTTCCTTTCTATACTACATGGGATGGAAATTTCTCACCCTACCATTCAGAATAAAACTGAAACTGAGTAGTGGGGAGGAAGGAAGTTGAGTTATTTCACAGGATAGAAACACACACTTTCCCTTTTTCTTCCCAAGTAAGAGGTGGGGATCAAGTACAACTTGAGGCTGTTTTGTGAATAACGGCTTTCTGGTCAATTAGGTACCTACAGGGATTTCCAGTAGTCATAGGATATGTAATGGCACCTACATATTTCCCGGTTTGTTGCTACAACTTTCTCTAGGTTTGTCATAATTTTTGGAATTTAGACTTAATCATATACCTTTCTTCTACTCCAGAGATTCTTAGATCTGTTATCTTACATGTATTCCAGAAATCTTAGAAGCTTTGTTAATATGTGTTAATTTATATATGCATGTGATGTTTAATAGTATTATATATAAATGTACATATACATATCTCTCTTTATATACACACATACACACATACATACACACATACACACAGATAGACAGACATATATGTATTGTTGCCTTGCCATTGCCCTGAGTCCTCAAACTCACGCTTTTGCTTGGTCTTGCCTGTCATTATGCCTTCCACTGTGTGTTTTAGTTACTTGACTGATGGCTAATTTCATTTTCATCATTTCTCTCTTATTGTTTTTCAGAGTCTCAAATTCCTTGCTGAATTTTTTTTTCTCCTCCATATGTCTTATAATGTCTCCTCAATTTCACCACTTTGAAAACTTTCTTGTCTAGGCCTGGAATTAGACTACCTAAGAATTTTAAAAGGTATGCTGTGTTTCTAAATATTAATCTGCATATCACAGTCTCTGTTTATCAATTTAACTGCAAATTTGAGATTATAATTAACAGTTCTTCTCTGACAAAGTGGTTACATTGAAGATTGAAGATTTTTCAGTACACACCACTCTCTAAACTCAATTTCTGATTATAGATAGTATTGTTGTGGCCCATCAGTGTTTCTGTTGTTCTTAATTCTCCTTTGCAGTTATTATCTTCGTAATAGGAGCTTTATATCTGAGGTGACTATCTCCAGTCCTTGTTTTTTTTTTCTCAATACAGCAGGCATTTATAATCATACATGGCATTTGGTTTTCAAATCAAAGTCTTTAAGTTCCTATAAAGGAGATCAGATATAGATTAACGCAAACAAAAACTGCAAATTTATAAACTTACTTTTTGTCTAACGTTATAATTAAGACAGTTTTATACTCATTTTGTGTATTTTCCTTGCACAACCTTATCATCTATGTAGACTCCTTTACCTATCACCACATAACAAAGTCCCAACAATTTCATAACTATAAAAACAGTCTTCATTTCTTCGCTACTCTTTCTTTCTCATGCCCATCATTAATTATTGGAAATCACTAATTTGTTCTGCATCTCTGTAGTTTGTTATTCAAGGATGTTACATAATAAGCGAGGCATTTATTAGTCATTTAGTCAAGGCATAGTTCTTCACTAATATGCATCCTCTTATGCATTTATGCATTATTGAAAATAGAATTAACTTTTAAAGGATTTTAAAGTAATTTGATTTTACACAGTTCTGAGGTTTTTTTTTCATTTCATAGGCATAACATTTTGGTTCTATCAAATTTAATGTTTTGTATAGGTACAAATTTGTATATATGAACAATGGCTCTGGCAATGCAACTCCTGGCAGCTTTTTATATAACTTTAACATACAGATAATTAAATAAAACAGCCTTGTGTACAATATTTTTGAAGCCTTTAATAAAATGCTGTTGTCGGTCCCTACACACAGGCCCTTACTGCTACGGCATAGCAGCTGCTCCACTTCCACCAGCAGGTTTACTTTTCGTGGTTCTAGCTACTGTAGACAAATGTAGTCTGAAATATCAATGCCAACTTCCGGGAACAAACAATCCATAAGCTGAATAGTATGGCGAATTCTGGATCATGAATTATTCTTTTGTTCAGAGTATCCAAGGTGCACCTGCCGTACACACGGTAGCAACTGAAAGGCTGCATTCACATAATTTCTATCATAGGTCAGATTATTGCAACCACTCTATAGTTAATGATTGTTAGTGCTGTACTATGGATAATGGATAAATTAAACATTGCTATAGACATGTGTTTTATGGCCATAGGCATGTGTTTATGGTAAAGGGTGGTATGTATTGGGGTTAGAACTATTTGAGACCGCCACTAATGTCTTGGAACACATTCCCACCAAACAGGGGCACTTTTATACAATTTCCCCAGTGCTTCTTCCTCTTTTGTTTCTCACTGTAGTTGTTATGTAGGAGATTTAGTTTTGCTGCTTATGATTCTTTAAGTGAACTAGTCATGTTAAATGTATTTGTTGAGGAGACATGAAAGTCCTAGATGAAACAAAGGTCATTACTACATTGTTGTTTTGGTTTTCTCTTTTTGTTTTTGTTTTGTTATTTTTTTTAAGGTAGGGTTTCTGTGTGTATCCTGACTGTCCTGGAATTCACTCTGTAGACCAAGTTGACCTCAAACTCATGAGACTCACCTGCTTTTGCCTCCCAAGGGCTGGGATTAAAGACGTGGACCACCACTTGCTCAAAGATCTTTATTATGGCACAGAAATATGAATGATTCGTGTCAGGTCCTCTTTGCCTCAGACCATTTAGAATTAACTGGGGGAGGATGCAAATCTAGCCAGACAATGCTGTATGTCCTGTAAGGAGCATTGGACTTAGATAACTGGAATCTACATCAAGCAACTTATCATAATTAATCCTGTCCCTTGCCCCACAGTAAAACATGACCTCTTCTCTTTAGAGTGCTTTTGGAAATACAACTTTGCAAATGGCCTCGTGGAAACATGGGTCCCTCCCAGCATTTATTCCCCTTGCCCTAGAACGACCATGAAAATGTCCAGGTGTGTGCACATGAGTGGCATAGATGTGCATTGTGCACATACAACACCATAACGTCTGTTCCTATTTCCTATGCAGCTGGAAGTGCAGTGTCCTCCCGGTGCCACCATTGGATTTGTTGCAGAACACTGGAATTTATGCAGAGCCACTTACAGCATCCAAAATCAGGAGAAAGAGAGTATGATGAGAGTGCGTGGGCCATGCGCAACCTACGGCTGTGGTTCAGATTCTGTCTTCGAGGTCAATACATATGTTACTTCTACATTGTCCATAATAACCTCATAATGTTCTTGCCTTCAGTTTTTATGTGAATGGTATGAAAAAAAGTTATTTGTAAGCTGACAGCAAATCCTTTTCACATGGTTTCTCATGGTTACTTGCCATTTTCCAAATGTGAATGGCATTGCCTTTTTAAAAAATGGGATTTTTTCCCCCATTTAGAACTTTAAAACTTCTGGAAGTAAAGATGATTAGATCAATAACTGTTCTTGATATGTATCACCTTTTTTCCATAGTGATTTTTAGAATGGGAGTAAGGGTTTTAATTGCCAAAATCTAGCAAATCGCAACACTTAGAGAATTCATAAGGGTAGGAATATAATGAATGGCAGGGCTATAGTGCAACATTTTCTCAAAAAAGAACAATTTTTTGTTTTGCATTTTCCCTGGGACTGGCAAAGAAATTGCTAGGAAAAAAGCCCTGAGGTTTGGAAGACTTTCTCAAAGCCTCTTAAGAAGACAAGGCTTGCAGCACACTAAATTACTATTATTATTATTTATTCCTTCTTCTACTTCCTATGATACAAAGAAAACTTTCTAGTTTTTATTTTATATCACCATGTAATGAAACATCATTCACTTACTAAGAACATTGTAGAAAATGTCAACAAACCAGGTTTCCGGCACAGGCTATGTGAGGTCATTCTGTTTCTAGGTGACATTAGAAGCTAGGTAAGAGGTAATTTTACTGTCAAATGTTGGGGTCCCGTTTTTAGAAGCTGAAGTCCATTCTTATACCTAGAACGGCTGATACTAGTTGGGCTTAGCTCACAGAAAATTGAGTGTTGTGCAGTGTGTATTACATGTCCCTTAGCTTTGTTTAGAGGCTCCCTTGATTGGAAATGAGTTCCAATTCTCAAATTCTCACCCTCTACTACAGAAAATAATTTAATCATCAATTAAAACCGTGCCTTCTGACAAAGTCCCCAAACGATATATTTAAGGAGGAGGAAAAGTCACTAGATTGGGGGTTTTAAGGTATATCCCAGGTCAGTTATTAACCATTTCAGGACACTTGAAATTCAGGATTCCTCATTTGAAATGATGTCATTAGTGGGTTTCTTTTATATTATCCTATCACAAACTGCTTCTAAGAAGAGGACAGAGGCATGTCCCTTGACACTTTTCAGCCATCATAAAGTCCCACTCTTGGCATTGCAGGTCAACTCTCTAGATGGAGCATCTAACATCGGCAGTATCATCAGGCAGTGGAATGGCTTTTTATCAACAATGGGAAACGCAGACCACTTCGAGATTCGCTTTCCTTTGGATCTGGATGTGAAGATGAAAGCGATGATTTTTGGCACTTGCTTCCTCATTGTAAGCCTTTTGCTGTGGGCTTGAGAGCATCATTTCATCTGATGAGAAGCAGTATTCTATAGGAGAAAATTCATTTTGAAGCTAGGCCAGCTTCTGTCTGTGCCACTTCTAGGGGCAGGTTTGGCACTGGGTGATGGGGTCTACAGGTTTGTAGCAAGGAGAAAAATACTGTCATCACAGAGTGATTGATCTGAGCTAAGTAAAGGCTTCTGGGGCATATCTGGAGGGTGTCAGACAGGATACAGTGGTCATGGTTTCCTATTATCTTTCTCACTAATTCAAAACAGTTGTCCAGTGATACTTAGTATAATAAAGTAACTACGAAACAGCTGCCCTTTTCCTCTTGCCTGTAAACTGTAATCCTGCTCCTCAGTGTTATATCACTCTCAGTTTTACTCCGAGGTTTTCCTTCAGTTAATGCTAAAAATTAGTCGGTGTTGAATATGAAAAGCTTTATTATTCATCTGCATTCTCACATGTTAGCCGTACTCATAAATATTTTATTAGATTTACTTTTACTGGAATAAGATGTTCCTGTGATAAATTACAAAGACTGTTATATGCCTTGGTATAATTATTTCTATCTATCTGCCATTCATTTCTCAACCTAAATATTATAATCCTTTTCCCATTTCAGGACTTCATGTACTTTGAAAGGATTGCTTCGCGGCGTTCATCAGTATAGAGGGATCAAGCAAAGCATCAGTTGAAAAAAAATTAGAGAAATGCACATTGGACTCACAGCCAGCCTGCAGTTATTCACAAGGATATTTCTCTGGCTTGAACATTGTTTTCACTGGTATAAGTCAGGATATGTGTCCCAGTGCCTTGTCCATTTTCTTACATACACACTTAACATTCACACACACCTTATATCCGAATGTTTATCCTGAAGTCGAGGATTCCATATTGTATCTCATTTGACATTTTTTTTTTTTAAAAATCAGTCTAATGACCAGGGTGTCCTAATGAGAAACAGTTTATAAAAACTGAATGTATAAATCGTATCATTGCTCAATACTACTTGACCTGACTTTCATGTTAAACAATTCTTCACACACAAACAATCAGGAAACAGAGTAAATATGTGGCCTCCACATTCCCTCGATTATCAGTGAGGACTATGGAGGACCAGCAGGTCGTACTAAGGACAGTCGGTGTATGTATGAATACCCCGACTAGTGAGACTCTCACTCTGCCTTCCTGCCTTCATGTGGACTGTGTTCTTTCATGAATGTTTCCTTTTTTTAGACGTTGTTAAATGAAGATTAATAGAAGAAACTTAGCCCTCTGCTCTTTTTGAAACAAACTACAGGTGCTTCACTTTCAATTACACTAATCTTTTTATGATAAAGTTTGATTTACTCGGTTATTCCTAACAAATTGCTACTTGCTGCTATTCATTTTTTTTTAATAAATGAATATGGGTAGTTGGCTAGGTTTAAAGTACTGGACCTGAATTCCTTTCTATTAAGCAGGCCTTCAATTCAATTAGGCAGCTGTTAGTTACTTTAGGGATATAACTGCCTCTATAGTACCCTAGGTATATTTTGGTATTCTGGGCCTTGTTATGGTTTCTAAGCATGACAGCTGCATCTTAGTGCTGTGATAAAGCACCACAACCAAAGCCACTTGGGGAGGAATTAAGGGAAAGGGTAGGGAAGTCAAGGTAGGAATTAAGATAAGAAACTAGAGGCAGGGACTGAAGCAGAGACCATGGAGAGGTGCTGCTTACTGATTTACTCCTTATGGCTTCCTCAGTCTGCCTTCCTATAGTACCCAGCACCCCCAACCCAGAGGGGCACTGCCTTCAGTGAGATAGACCCTCTCACATTAATCATCAATTAAGACAATGCCCTATAAACTTCTGGCAGATCAATCTTATTGGGTCGTTTTCTCACTGAAAGTTCTTCATCCCAAATGACTCTACCTTATGTCAAGTTGACAAATACCTATCCAGCACATGGTGGGGAGGAATATTGATTACTTTTCTTCCTGGGCGGCTTGTATTGCACCTTTCAATACTTTGAAAGCTAGCCCTCAGGAAGGAGGCCTCCAGGTCAGTTCCAGCTCAATTCCTCCAAGTCTCTTGTCCTAAGTGTGTGGTATCTTCAGCAATAAAGTTTTCCCTTCTTTTTCTGGAAGGCACACATGGGCAACAGTGCTCTTGTTGATTTTGCTGTCAACTTGATTCAATCTGGATTACGTGAGAAGAAGGAAGCACACGATTGAGAAAATGCCTCTATAAGTTTGGCCTGCTGGCAAGCTTCGTAATTAATAATTGATGTAGAAGGACCCAGGCCACCACTGAGCAGGTGGTAGACATCAGTTTAAGGATATTTAAGTTATATCTGTTTCCTAGCTATTGTAAATAGAAGATCAGTGAATGTGGCTGAACAAGAATCTGTGGAGTGCGGCATCGAGTCCTTTGGGTACATGACCCAAAGGTATGGCAAAGTCATATGGCAGTTTTACTTTTAGCTTTTTGAGAATTTTCTGCCTGGATTTCCAGAGGGGCTGCACCAGTTTGCAGTCCCACCAACAGTGAACGAGGAGTTGCTTTAGGTTTCATTTCATTAATTGCTAAGGATGTTGAGAACTTTCAACATATTTCTTAGCTATTTTCATTGCTTCTTTTGAGAACTCTCTGCTCAGATCCCAAGCCACTGTTTTTTTTTTTTACTTTTGTTTAAAACGGATTTTTTTTTTCTCACATAACATGTCCTGAATATGGTTCTCACATGTTACTTTGCACAAAAGGATCAGGAGTTATACCTTAAATCTATGCTGTGTTCTTCTGGGTAGTGTTCGGTTAATTTTCATTTTAATGGCATATGTGAAAACAGAACAGAATGGCAGCATGTTTAATATTCTGGAATACAGCTGAGAAGGACATGAGGCAGGAAGGAGGTCTTCTCTGAGGTGTGCTTTCTTCAGAGTTCAGTGTCATTCCTGCTAGTGCCACAGTGGTGCCAAGCAGTCATACTTCCTGTGTTCGTACATGTCTTTACACATAAGATCCTAAACAATGAGGACAATACTTTATTTTTAAATTCTCCACAAGTAATGTAATTTTTTTACCCATAGCACAAGAAAAAACAATATAAAACATTATATAACTAATATATAATATTAATTATAGCATAATATATACATAGGTAATTCTCTTCATGTCCACTTAACAGTGTTACATCAGTGTACCTATAGGGCTTGGAGAGTCTCTGTTCCTTTGGTTTTTCAAGACAGGGTTTCCCTTGGTAGCCCTGACCTTTCTGGAACTTGCTTTATAAACCAGGCTGGCCTTGAACTCATGGATATTCACCTGCCTCTGCCTCTTGAGTGCCAGAATTAAAGGCACCACCACCACTACCACCAAGCCCAAGTCTCTGCTCTAAAAACACACCTGTTAAGACCAAGGCTGACCGCCAGCCTCAGCAGGGATGATAAAATTGAAGCTGTCTGTTAATGAGGACAGTGGACTCCCATCCAGCATCTCTTCATAGTCCGATGACTTCTCACCTTTAACTTCTGCACAATTCTTACTCATCTAGAATCAAGCTGTACTCTGCTATCAATATCTTTGGTTTAGACTTCAGCCAGAATTTCTAGGCTTCCTACAGCAAGGGAATTTTGTGATCATTTACTTTGCAATCGTAACAGCAATAGAAGGGAGATGCTGGAAACAACAAACAGACAAGCCAGCATGAAGTTTGGTAGTAGGCGAGCATGGCAAATTCTATAATATACGTATCGAGCAGTTACATTGTACTTGCAGATCATTGCAGTATGTTAGGCCTCTGTTTTCTATTTGAAATGACATCATCTTTCAGTCATCACATCATTAAATTCCAGATTGTACTTAAATCTTAAAACTCCTAATATTGTTGTTAGAGAAAAGATTGCTGATGCAGAAGCAAAACTCTCACCTCAAAGGGAACAAGGAAGAGTTTGTTCTGGAGCCAAATATGTGTGGCCATGAACACAGATTTAGTAACCCCTAATTCCTAATTTTCAATGGAAAAACAGTTTCAGGAAGCTTTCATAGTAACAGACAAAAGAAAGTCATAAACCGGATACACTGGTGGGAACATCAGAGAGGCAGGCTAAAACAAAACAGAGAACCTCAGCCATGGCCCCAGGTTCTCTGTGTTGTCTCGTAGCCTTTGATTTGGTGGAAATTGGTGTTCTGCTAAGTTAATATGTTCCAAAGGCTTTCATCTGTGACAGAACATTAGGTCCCACACTGAGGTGGTCAAGACACAAGCCCAGGATAAATTGCAATCGAGCTCGAGAACGTCTCAACCTCCCCACAATTGTAGTCGTTCCAATTAGCCTAGAAGGTGCTTCAGGTGGAAGGTACAGCTTCTAAGAACTTTTGTCCTCACCACATTTATTATCCTAGACTCAAATAAAGTCTTTTGCCAAATTATAGGGCATCTTCACTGAACAACCTTTTAAAAACTTGGCCCAAATTGTCTTCACTAACAGTCATTAAGAACAATTAGAGTTTCAATTCTTGCATTGTACTATATAACAACAGAATTAAAATTGTACTGTCTTTCACACTGTTGATTTTGTAGGAATGCATAAATGCAGGGTACTCCGGTAAAGCAACTGAAGACCAAAGTATTGTCTGCTTTTGCAGCCTTCCGACCTCTGAAGTCAGGAAGCTGAATACGATGGTGGGCGACAGGGGGCAGCACAGGCTTACGGGTTTCATTCGCAAACCACAGTCATTCTCAGCCAGACTCAATCTGTTTCCGTCCATGAGGTTTAAAGATTTGAGCCGGGAAGCGACATTTAGGACCACTTGCTCTACATTCGAATCTACAAATGAGGGAATTGAAAGAAATAGAGGTGAGACGTCAAGGAACCCTGGAAACTCACAGCAGAACCAAGAGTGAAAGCACAGGTCTGGGTTTTGTTTTTTCCTTTATTTTCTTTTCCATGTCTTTGCCATAAAACCACGACTTTCGCAGAGTTTTGAAAACATTTAACGCAACGTGATTCACAACGTTGGTATTTTGAATTATTCTTAGTTTTCAAAGGTGTTTTTCAGCATTCATGCGGTCATTCTACATAAGTAACCTAGAACCCGTAGAGATACGCTCTCCTTGCTGGGGCTGTCCAGTCTGCAGGGCAAGAAGAAAGAACATCAGCAACAGTTATGTTTTTCTTGCCGCTTCAGAGGTCAATTTATCCCAGGGTGGTGAAAAACGCCAGACATCAGAGTTGTCCATCCGTCATTTGGTGGAAAATGATTCTTTCCAGAGATTCACTGGACTGATCCCTTAATGTGGACCCTAATGAGCTCTAAGGAACACCTTGGTCCTCCTGAGGAAGAAGCCATTGGGTGTGGCTTCTTTTGGCTGCTTACCATTTCTGCGGTAATGAGCTCTGTAATAACGGGAGCTCTGTGGGCGCCGCTGACGACTCAAGGCTTTGCAAACAGACGTACTACATGAAGGGCAAATAAACATGGTTTTGTAAGGAAGCAAACACTTTTACAGCTTTGAGATTTTTTTTTTTTAGTTTTACTTATTTTATGTGCATATGTGCATGCCCACTTGTGTGTATAAGGTCAAAGAGGGCATCAGATCTCTTGAAACTGGAATTATAGGTAACTGGGAGCCCCCATGTGGGTACTGAGTCATCTTTCTAGCTCCTGTAAGTTTTTTTATAATGAAAATGATCCATCTG